TTTTGGAGATCGTGGTTCAGAGTAACAGCGGGCCAGAGAGTGGGCTTCTAGACGTGAATCGTAGGTCCTTCGAGGTTGTGAAACTGGAGGTGATGCCGTCGGAGGGAAATATGAAGTACTGTTGCTTCCAACGCCAGGTAATATTCGGGACCGGTCAAGTGGTGACTGTGCAAGATATAATGATTCCCTTTCGGACGCAGAATGAAGCGAACGAATAGAATACGGTTGCCCGAAGAGGCTGTGTAAGGACGGCAGTTGTTGCCGTGAAGAGACCTCGTTGCTCGACTCCGATCGAGCTCTCCTGGTATCCTTCTCACCAGTGGCCGTCGATGCGTCGGCACTAAGGGCCTTGTCATGGAATTGAGAGAACCGTATTAAAGAAGAGTCAGGTCTGAGGATGTCCATCAGACGGAGTGGCTCGGATGAGCTCTGCTTTTTCCGTGTCCAGGGAAACCTTCCGTTCGCGAAACTTGACATTGTGACAATTTATCAACGTTTCGTGGATTAAAGGAAGATTAATTATTTGTGGGAGAGTTAACTCTTTTCAAGAGTTGAGCATCCATTCGAGAGGAACTGAGCCGGCTTTTTATAGATGTTAGATATCTTGCCTGCTTTCTGAGACAACCACGCCTTACCACTTTCTGCAACCACCGGCTGGAGGACTTTGAGTTAATCTCCGGCCCAGCAATGTGAAGAGGACCAACAGCTCTTTTGCAAGCCACAACACCATGGAGGTTACATCCACGCATAATCGATCTCGCACATATTGATCGGAACACAGAGCCAAAATCTCGCGGAAATCTCCTTTGAGACCAGGACGTGTATGTACGTCCGTTCACATAGACTATGCGTCGTGGTGTGGCTTGCAGAAGAGCTATTAGTTTATATCAGAAAGAGGAGTGTACTGATAAATTCTTGAGTTAGCAGATCGCACAACCGACATATGTCCTAGAGCCGTTTCTGCCGGGCATTTCGCATCCTGTCCAATAGGCCGAGTTCATCCATGTCCTTTTAGGACAGTCATCGAAATAATATCCGTCATAGTAACTTGCTTAGGATATACCATACAGAGCCGATCGTTATCGTAAAGTGGCTTAGACTTTCACTTTGCACTTGGCACTTGCACCTTGCACCCCGCACCAGGCCTGCCCCCCGCCGTTTCCACACTTTCCTGCTACAGCAACTGGGACTCCACAAAAGTCGCGTGCAGCTTTGTTCATCTTAAATTGCATTGTTTGGTTCCAGGACACACTTCCCGTGGCGGAAGAGCGCTCGTGCATAAGCTCCATCCACTGAATTGAGTCCCATGTCAGCTAGCCTGATTCTCATTCATATACGCAAACCAACAGATTTTCTGCAAGCCATATCATCATGGAGGTTACATCCAAGCACGCATGATCTGCGACAACATGATCTATTCATGAAGCAACTTCAACCCCCTTTGGGTGGAACAACTCCAGAATTACCCTGCTCACTTCGAAGCTTCCATCAGGGTTAGGTTTGCGGCGGGTTATCAGACACCACTCTCCTCATGCTATTCATCGTGGAATAAATGAGGTCATTTCATGCTTCCAATCCGTGGCTGAAAGCTCTATGGATCCCAGTTGATGCGTGTAGGTTGATTTGGGGGGGCTATTTTCCATTCGCAATTCCGAGAGAGCGATCTTGCATGGGCTCAGTCCACAGCTGAGTTTTTAAACCGCTTTTGTCTGGATTGAATCCCGCGTACCAATACCTGTTTGGCAAAACCAATACTGCAACCATGATTGAACATCGGTGATCCAACACGAGACGCTTCCTAGTAGATGAAAGCTGTCTGCAGCCTTTTCACATTGCATCTGACGGGTCGAACAGTACAGTAACCCCCTGCACGACTGAGACCATGCTGGGAGAAGTATCCATAAGCGAGCAAACTACAGAAGGGAAGTTGAGGAAATCGCACTTAAGGGCAGTTTGTCGGGCAAAATCCACTGCAGGGGCTAGACCTCAGTGGACGCGCACTTCTCTAGAGCACCTTGGGCTGATCTAAATCGAAAGACCTGGCGGGAATGTTCATGAAAGAACTGGGAAACCAGGCGAATCTATGAGCGATGGCCAAGATGGCCGAGCTTGCGTAAAAAGCCCTACCGTGGGGGTCACGGTAGGCATCGCTACGTCGTATAGTTGGGGAATGCAGAGGTTGCTGGGAACCGCTATACTGACAAATATTCAGAGTCAATGGCCGAGGCCAACAAGGCCTCGGAAATCCAGGCTGAAGCTGATTACGCGGTTGTTTTGCCACCCAGGTGGCAACAGTAGTCGTAATGCTGCTGCCTTGGCAGCAGTATTCAAATGGTATTAAAGATAGAGGAAGTTTTTCATCAGTGGGAAGAGGAGAGGAGTCATAAAGCAATACACAAGAATTATAACGGGTAGCACATATCTCTAAGTGACTATGGCTAATACACATCTCAAAACGCGACACAGTTGGAAAGTACAGGGAAGACATGCAGCTAAGTGTCGGGAGGGCCACATCTGACCCATAGTCACACTAATGCTGGGGGAGGCATGGTGATCCACGGAGACCTGTGGCCACAAGCAGGAGTGTTGTGTTCTGTAAATGGCTGTTGTTTCAAAAATTTCGTACTCGCCGGTGATGATGTTTTCAGACGAGCACACTGAAACAATTTGTCAATGACGCGATATAATCACGTGACCTTACTGAAATTTGTCTCCTCTAGCCCCCATATTGCCAGGTCGGTCATCTCTACCATCATAATCCATGATGCTACACTCATTAAATTTAAATCAGCTATCCATTTGGAAAACATGGCGGCAGCTTCTCACTGGGGTTTTCCACCTCAATGTTGCGGGTTGGGAGACATTCTAGTACTGCTAGCTAGGGTGGTCGAGCGCCGGGTGGTTCTGGGATAGTAGCTTGTTTGGAGGAGCCGAGATTGGGAAGTTGAAGGAAGAGACCGATTCTAGGTACATAAAAGGCAGGGAGTTACGAAGGGTTGGCCGTGATCACATGTGGGACTAGGGTCGATTGTGACTCCCAATTACCCAGAAAGGCGATCTCCTCAACTTCCCTCCTTTGAGTTCTAGGCTTATAGATAAATAGTTCTCTCAACTTGGTCTCAGCCGTGCATCGGAGCACTGTTCTATCTGCCAGATGCAATCTGAAGAGGCTGCTGACAGCATCATGTTTGGTCAGCCATGTTCAAAAGTTGGGGCATGGGGGGAGGATGGGGCGGGCAGGGCAGGGCAGGAGCAGGGATTGCTTGATTACATGCGGGGTTACGGGCCGCTTGTGGCCTCTCAGGGCATATTACGCCCTGTACCTCCCAATTACCGTAAAAGGCAATTTTCCTCAACTTCCCAAATGCGTATTCTCGACACTCTACGCGCTCGGCTACCTGGCCCTGTCAAAAGGACCTGCATGTTGGTCAAGACGAAGTCGTCGTGGTCAACCAACGAACCAATGAACCTGTGCCACTTCAAATCAGGCTGCCCCAGCCTCCACCTTCACTACTCTGCAGTTGCTGGAGGATGCTCTGCCTTGATCGCGCTTGGGCAAAGCGCTCATTCGTTCCTGGCTTCAGCCCTGACTTTCAATTTTGTTTCCAATGACGATAGCACGACGCCCGAAATGCTCTGTCCGGGTACGACCTGGCGCCCTTGCAACTCAGTACAGTACAATACCAGTCGTAATAGCCAGTACTATTACAGATCATGGTCATTTCTATTGATTGAAACTCAAATGAGGCAAAATTTTAGCCGTTCTTTGTTATTGTAGCCCTCTGCACCGTCAAATAGTATATTTCTACGGAGTCGAAATTTATTTGTAAAGCTGTCTGTTTTCCGGTTAGCCAACAAAACGCCGCAGGATGCAGGTTGTCGACTTCCGTAGCGGAGCACGAGTAGCACATCGAGCTAGTTAGTCCTGTAAGAGGCACAGAGCGTGCATTCACGGTCTCTCCCAAGTATCCATGAATGGCTGGGCATCCTTAATCGTGCCGTCGTTACAGTGTTATTTGTCAAACAACCGCTGGCGACATCGGTGCGAAGCAAGCCCTCACGAATGAACCAGGAGCCAGGCAGGCGAGATATGAATTATTCTATTTCACGAGTCGCCGTCATGTCTCTGTCTGTCTCTTTGCCAAATATCTGCCAAAACATCTTCAAATGCTTTGATGATTGGGTCATATAGTACCTTGGGCTCCTGTGGTGTGCCAGTGAACAGGTCACCGTCGTATATAGGAAATAGGATTCGCCGTAACTCCCTGCAAAGCGGCTTGACGCAGTCAAACTCTGACGGGAAGTCCTTCAACACCAGTCCAAACCCTTTGTCTTCGGCCTTAATCATATCGCCAAGCTTATTTCGTGCGATGTCCTTATATGTTCCAGTATACCAATGCGAAAGGATAGACTTGGTCACCACCTTTCTTGAAGGTCCAACTAATGCCCAACCTCGACGGGCGCATAGCCAGATGAGGACATAGAAAAAGGCCTCAAGGTCGTGACGATACGTGTGCGATATTCCAAGAAGCACTTCAATCGCCATGAATTCCATCGTACCAGTCCGATGGCGGGCCCCGCTCGGGCCCGCGCCTTCTTCCTTGGCAAGGTCCAAATCGATGAGCATGCCCCTGAAGCCGTTGGCTGTTTCCGGGTCGGTGATGATGATGTTGTTTTCCGAGATGTCTCGGTGCAGAATCTTCCCATCCATGTAGAGTGATCGGTGCACTTTGATGGCATCACAGAGGCCTTCAAGGAGTTCGGCAACAGATTTGAACTGGCTGATGCATCGTCCCGCTGGAGAGATGGCCAGTACGCGAAAGATGCGGTTGTCGTATGGCAGGTCTTGATTTTGCTGGATAAGACTAGTACCCTCCGGTTCTTTCACGGGGTAATTGATCCCGTTCTCTCCGTGTTCTGCCCCGGCTAACTGGCTGTTCGACCGG